GAGGAGAGGAGAGGAGAGATTCACCTCTGCAAGGCAGAAGAAGGGCAGAGCTTAGGAAACATGGTGGCGGCCATCGCACAAAGAACACATGGCCACGCCAGAGTCATGGGCTCCAGCAATTCTGTTGCCTCACCCTGCCTGAGTGCTGGGATTATAGGCCCAGCCTTTTGTTCTCTTTGAATACACACAGGAAGGTAAACTTTAGGAGAAATGACTTTCTCTCATTTACAGTCATCAAATGTTAAGGTTTAACTTTGGAACTTTTTTTTGTTAGATTGGAAAATATAGTTTATTTAGAAAGTATATTGGAGAGAGTGAGAGAGAGAGAGAGAAAGAGAGTGAGAGAGGATTCACCTCCCCCAGGTAGGGGAGGGGGCCAAAGCTTGGGTAAAACATAATGGCCAGGTGGGCTCTGTGACTCAGCCTATAATCCTAGCACTTTGGGAGGCTGAGGTGAGAGGATAGCCTGAGCCTGTGAGTTCTAGACCAGCCTGGGCAAGTTGGTGAGACCTCGTCTCTACAATAAATCGCAAAAACTAGTTGGGAAGGATCGCCTGAGCCCAGCAGGTCCAGACTGTGGTGGCTGTGAGCGTGCCGCTACACTTCAGTCTGGGTGACAGAGTGAGACTGCAACTCAAAAAAAATAAAATAAAAATAAAGAAATAGTGAGACTGAAAATAATAAACTTCATCTATATAAGCCATTTTATTTATTGATTTATTTTTGAGTCAGAGTCTCACTTCGTCACCGAGGCTGGAGTGCAGTGACACGCTCACGGCCACCCCAGCATCAACCTGCTGGGCTCTGGTCATCCTTCCGCCTCAGCCTTGCAAGTAGCCAGAATTACAGACGTGCATTACTACGCCCGGAAATTTTTGATTTGTTGCAGAGATGAGGTCTTGCCAAGTTGCCTGGGTTGGTCACGGGCTCAGGCAATCCTCTCACCTTGGCTTTCCAAAGTGCTGGGATTACAGGCTGAGCCACTGAGCCCGGCCTAAGGCATTAAATTTAAACCTCACAAAATATGAGGGGATTGTAAACGATCAGCCTCAAAGAATACATACCATATACTACATTTTTATTCATTCCAAAAGCTGGTGTTTAGTTGTGCATATGTAAGCATAAAACTAAAGCCCAGCAAACAAATGATTACTGTAAATGCCATGACAGTGGTTACCTCTTTGACAAGTGGCAGATGTGTTTGGAAAGGGGCAGCTGGAGGACCTCTGGGGAGTGAACAGGATCTTGCTTCTTACACCCAGGCAGTGGGCACATCGATGTTTGCCTTGTGATAGTTTATGGAGCTGCATATCTGTGATAAGCATTTTCTGCATGTGTGCTGTATTAACAACATGACTATTTTAAAATTTGCCTTTGAAAAATAAAACAGAGCCGGACTCGGTTCTAGTTTTAAACCGTAGAAATACGAATTTTTGGTCTCAGTGTTTTTGGATGTTTTCACTGCTTGTAATTAAGTGCTTAAGAACTATGGGCACACCTGTAGTTCCAGCTACTTGGAAAGCTGAGGTGGAAGGATCACAGGAGCCCAGCAGGTCGAGGCTGCAGTGGCTGTGAGCATGCCAGTGTCCTCCAGCCTGGGTGACAGAGTGAGACTCCAACTCCAAAAAAAAAAAAAAGAAAAAGAAAAAGAAAAAGAAAATAATATTGATTAAATAAATATTTACTATTTTTCTCATTAATGGAAACAGCACGTAGATGTTTAGATCAAATTCAATAAAGATGAACTTCTTTGGAGGAAGAAATGATTTATGTAAACATAATTACATCTTTTTTGAGAGGCAGGTTAATATGACTCCATGTGAATTCAGGTATCATACTGTTTCAGTTTGGATGTCAGCTCAAGTAGCCTAGCTGTTTGAACTTCAGTAAGTTGTTTTGCTTATGTGTGCCTTTCAGTTTTAGCTTTAAAATCAAGAGGGTAACAGCACCAACTCAAAATGAGTTAACAAAAGTACAGTGTTTGTGATAGTGAGTATTTGCATGTTGGTGTTGAAAAAAATTATATTCCCATATTGTGAATCTTTATGATTTGTTTTTACACACTTGTCATAGAGATGCTGAGAAATTCCTCTTACATTTTGTTGGAATACCGATGCTACCTTACTTGGAATAGTTGTAAGGTAACTTGTTGTTTTATTATTTTATTTTCAGGTGATTCCTCCTCGGGAGTGGAGGCCAAGGCAGTGCTATGATGACGTCGACAATCTGCTCATCCCAGCCCCGATTCAGCAGATGGTCACAGGGCAGTCAGGCCTGTTCACTCAGTACAACATCCAGAAGAAGGCCCTGACCGTGAAGGAGTTCCGGCAGCTGGCCAACAGTGGCAAGTGAGTCCATTCGGGCCGCCATCTTGTTTCCTTCAGAGATATGTGTGAATGAGGTAGGAGGCGAAGTCGATAGAGGAGCTTAGAACGACACACAGGGGTCTCCTGTGCCGTCTCCTTCAGTCCTCCTTTAGCTGTTTCTGTGTTCTAGTGTTCAGGTGTTTGCCTCCTAACATGTAGCTTACTGTTAAGGAAATGGTTCTTCATGAACAAAAACCTCTTTCATAATGGCTATAATTGGAACTTTGTATATTTTCGTGTTTTAGTTGCCTTGAGTTTTTTCTTTTTTCCATTGAGGCATTTTATTAGTAAGCATGTATTACATCCCTAGAAGAATAATCCCAGAATTTTGCCTCCTGTGTGTTTCTGTCTGACTTGCTTGTGGTCCATGATGGCAGCTGAGGCTGTCAGCGTAGTGACACCAAACTGGCGTCATGGGAGCAGATTATTCTGCCCTTTTTCTAGCTCTTTTAGTTGCACAACAAATCTGGGGTGGGTACTCCACACTTGTTTAATCTGTCTGTGAGATTCACAGCAATTTCCCCAGCTCTGATCCTCAGTTGTCTCAGATTCACCAGTGTAATTATGCTTCCACATCACAGAAAACTGGATGATGACTTTAGATCATGGCTAAATGAGAACCTGGCATTTGCCTCTCTTTTGGCATTAGGGAAGCACGTGAGAGCATCAGCCAGGACATTCGTGCGTGCACCGTTGTGGTGGCACGGGAGGTGGGCAGACAGCAGATGGGAGGGAAGAACAAACGGGCTTATGGGAGGCAGGCAGGCTCTCTGAGGGTGTCTTGCCGGGACTCAGAGTTCTTACACAACTTGTGTGTGTGTGTGTGTGTGTGTGAGAGAGAGAGAGAGAACGTGAATGCACGAGGATGTTTAAGCCTCAAGTGATCTGCATGTGCTAGAAGCTCAGCGATTTTAAAAGGACCTTGAGTGACTTGAAAGTCTCCCATTACTGCATTGGTTATTTATTGCTGTGTAACAAATTATCCCAATCTTAGCAGATGAGACTAACCCATAAATTCTGATCAGGATTCTTTGAGTGACTTTGCTGGGTGCTTCTGGCTCAGGGTCTCTCTCTCATCAGGTTGCAGTCAAGATGGATCTCCAGTCGTCTGAACATTTGGCTATGGCTGGAAGATTCTTTTCCAGGAGTACTCTCCTTACATGGCTGTTGGTGGAGTTCTCAGTTCTTTGTCACACGAACTGCTTCTCATGTTATGGCAGCTGGCTTCTCCCAGAGCAAGTGATCAAGAGGGAGTTGGCAAGATGGAAGTCCCAGCCATGTGTGGCGGTGTGAGCCTGTAGTCCTAGCTACTCAGGAGGCTGAGCCCAGGAATGTGAGCTTGCAGTGAGCTGTGTCTGTGCCACTGCAGTCCAACCTCGGCGACACAGTGAGATTCTGTCTCCAATATGTCTAGATCTATCTATCTATCTAGCTATCTATCTATCTATCTATCTATCTATCTATCTATCTATCTACCTATCTATCTATATCTCTATCATCTGTCTATCTACCTGTCTCACAGTGTCTTTTCATGACCTACGTCAGAAGCCACACATCTTCACTTCCACTAGATTCTATTTATTATGAGTTAGTTGTTGAGTGCAGCCTACACTCTAGTAGAGGAGAATGAAACTCTACTTTTTTTTTTGAGTCAGAGTCTCATTCTGTCACCCAGGCTGGAGTGCAGTGGCACGCTCATGGCCACCCCAGCATCCGCCTGCTAGGCTCAGGCCATCCTTCTGCCTTAGCATTCCAAGTAGCTGTAACTTGCCTGGAACATCCACCACGCCCAGCTAATTTTTTTATTTACTGTAGAGATGAGGACTTGCCAAATTGCCCAGGCTGGTTTCAAACACTTGGGCACAGGCCCTCCTCTCACCTTGGCCTCCCAAAGTGCTGGGATTATAGGCGTGAGCCACGGCACCCTGCTGAAGCTTGACTTCTTTAAGGCGGCAGTGTGAAAGAATTTATAGGTATACTTAAAACTCATCACCAGTGGGCTTGGTGGCTCAGCCTGTAATCCCCCGCTTTGGGAGGCCGAGGAGTGTGAATTACCTGAGCCTGCGGGTTCGAGACCCACCTGGGCAACTTGGCGAAACCTCATCTCTACAATAAATCAAAAAGTCAGCCGGGCATGGTAGCGCATGCCTGTAATTCCGGCTACTCGGAAGGCTGAGGCAGGAGGATCGCCGGAGCCCTGCAGGTCGAGGCTGCGGCGGCCGGGAGCGGCCACTGCACTCCCATCTGGGCGACAGAGTGAGACTCCGACTCAAAAAAAAAAACCAACCCAACCCCTCCCCCCCCCAAAACTCATCACAATAACCATTGTTAAACTATCTTTTTTTTTTCTTTTTAGATTGGAAAATATAGTTTATTTAGAAAGGAAATGAGAGAGAAAAGAGAGGGGATATTCCCCTCCCCAAGGTAGAGACGAGATCTTTCCACATTGCCCAGGCTGGTCTCGAGCTCCTGGGATCAGACCATCCTCTTCCCTCTGCCTCCCACTAGTGCTGGGATTACAGGAGTGGGCTACTGCACCCAGCCACAATTATAGATTTTTAAAAAACTCAAATGGGATACTAGTATACACTTTATACTGTACCTACTTTATTCACTGGAAAGAATTTAATATCAGTTCCTAGAAAAATCTACATTATTATATTTCTGAATTTTCTTAAACTGTCCATTGAAGGATATTAATGTTTTAAATTAATGCTGTAGCAAACATATTGGGTCATCTATCATCGTACACATCTCTGTGTTGTTAGAATGGATTTACAAAATTGGATTTCAGGGTGAAAGTTAACCTTATTTTTTTCTTTTTCTTTTGAGTCAAAGACTCACTCTGTCACCCAGGCTGGAGTGCAGTGGCACACTCAAAGCCACCGTAGCCTCGGCCTGCTGGGTTCAGGTGATCCTTCCACCTCAGCCTTCCAAGTAGCTGGAACTACAGGCATGTGCCACCACACCTGGCTACTTTTTTTTGATTTATTGTAGAGATGAGGTCTTGCCAAGTTGCCCAGGCTGGTTTTGAACCCATGGGCTCAGGCAATCCTCTTGCTTCCATTTCTCAAAGAGCTGGGATTACAGGCATGAGCCACCAGGCCTGGCAAAGATAAGCCTTTTTTAAGACTTTTGATATGTGTGGAAGAATATGCTGGGAAGGTTATAGTAGTTAATATTCCTATTCCAGTTGTGTAAGAGAGGTCATTTTCCCCTGCCCTTAATATTTTCTACATTTGCTAATCTAATAACTGCAAAGTATCTCATTTTAGTTTTACTTTCTTGGATTTTTTAATGAGATTGTCCTTTGTTGATGTTATGTCTTTTACATATAAATCTCTCAAGTTTCTTAGATAGTATAGTGTAGTTTGGTAAAAATTAAAAAAAATTTGAAAACTAAAATAATTTTAGACTAATTTTTTGCTTCTCTTGACACTTTCATGAAAGTATTTTTCTTTCTGATAAAAATATAAAGTTATAGCCGGGCTCGGTGGCTCAGCCTGCAATCCCGCGCTTTGGGAGGCTGAGGTGAGTGGAT